CTTTCTTCATGGCAAGCATTTCTGTGTCTGTGTGTCATCCTATACCTACTGAAAACAAATCCCAGCACATTTTTAGAACACAGACCCTGGAAGAACAGCACCAAATAAAACAGACCAAATCCTTGTCTTGAAGGAGCTTATATTTTAATCCAGAGTCTTAACCTAAAAATGAAAAGCCAAACTGAGAGGCGATAAATGTTTATTTGAGATCACAGAATTGCAATTCTAGAGCACAGATTCTGGCAGAAACCCAAATTGTGACCCAATTACAGGGTGAAGGCAAGGGGTTTTTACAAGAAAAGAAGGAGAAATAAACAAGTAGAAGAAAGGAATTTCCATTGGTGCTAACAAACTGATTTATTCTTTAGCTATACATGGCTGATTACCAATTTTATCTTTAGAAAGAGTATACACAGTCATAAGTCCTTGTGGTCGGGTTGTCCGCCTTCCTGTTAGTTTTACAAACAGTTGTTTGTAAGGCAATGTTGGTTTGGCCCCTTCCAAAGTTTATTTTGCCCAGTTCAAGCATTCTAAAAATTCAAGGAGCAAGATGTGCAAGCAGTTCTTCTGGAATGGCTACTCTGGCTCTATCTTAAAATGGCTCCACTTGTGTCAACTTTTCACAAGAGTTTATAAGTTTGCATAGGGAGGAGGGCTCTAAAATAAATAGAACCTAGGTGCAACCAAGACCCATTCTTTTCTTCCTTGCTTGTTTATTTCCTGATACCTATGGGCAAGGGTAGTAGATGAGAATTAGGGAATCATGGAACTTAATCCTTTTTCTCTTCTGCATGGATGAAGACCAGACTCTTTGCCTGATCTAGACCCTACCTAGTTTGAGTTAGAAGAGTTATTGACCTCTTTCCTAAGTGCTTCCTGCCTCACCAGTTATCCCCAAACCAAATTCAAACAAGATGATGATGGAAGCAATTTTAAAAATTAAATGAAGGGTCAGGTAGATCTTACAAAGCAGCGTAGTGTGGAAGGAATGAAAGTAATGCCTTGTTCTGACTATTCTCACCCCCAACCCCTCCACACTTTATGTAGCATGGGGAAGAGTTAGGCGTTTGCTTGGACACCTCTGAAGGTGCTCTCTTCACTTGCCATGTTCTCCCCAGACATATTCCTCTTCTATCTGTGTCTGCTTCCCAGATGGTGTGCTCTTTTGCTCCCTCAGGAAGAGTTACTTCCTGCCTCCTCCCAAACTGGACTTTCTCAAGCTGTGGCCAGATATGAATGAAATCTTTCCTTGCTTCAGTCCTGCCCTCTTGGGGTGGGTGAACTCAGAAGAGAAATACTTCAACAGAGCAGACATTTGGTTTTCTCCCCCAAAACAACACAGTCTAGCCTCACATGAGAGACGTGTATTCCTCCCGTTAACATCGGCTTGACTGTGTTCATTTCAAGACTGTAACCCTCACTTTATGTCACTAAGTAGCATTTGCCCACTGCCTAGGCTTGGCTTACATCATGAGTTACAGTGTCAGCTGTGAGTCGTTTTATATTAGTCATCCAGGACATCTTTCTGATCCTCAAATTTCCTGTCTAGTAGACAGGAAAGATTAAAGGAAGAGTCAGGTAGATCTTACAAAGCAGCATAATGTGGAAGGAACAAAAGTAACAGGAAGATGTGTGATTTTATTCCTCCTGCTTGTGATTTTCTCACTTCATAAATTCCTCCTTCCATAATGTGTCCTAAGAAGGCGCAGACAATTAGGTGGAACTAGGGAAACAGTAGTATTAGGTGAGAGTAGTTTTCTACTTGTCTCTGTCAGGGCCCTGCTGGTTCGCAAAAAGCATGTAATTGAAGAGAGTTTAATAAAGAGACTATTTACAAAAGTGCAAACAGACTTAAGAGAACCCAATAAGGAATGGCGAAGACCCAGGACAAGAAAGAGCAGGCAGCCACTACTACATGTAGGCCTGTAGAAGGAAGGGGGCATGGTGTTACTGAACCCAGGGAGAGCAGTAGCTCTGGAAGAAGTGACACTTGAAAGTTGTCATGGCAAAAGGGACTCAACCACTACAAAAACCATGACATGGCAAGGGGCCACACTGGTCAACCTCTCTTTCTTCCTGCTCTCTGATCTCATTCCAGCACCATTCATTGGCCAAAACTAATTGGAATTCAGTTGGCAAGAAGCCTGCCAGGGTGCAAGGCAAGGCAAAGAGATGGAGAGAATGGAGGGGCAACCTACACACAGTCAACATTTGAAAGTTTAAAAAACGGTCCACTTATCCCACAAAGCAAACCACTATATACAACTTATTATACTTTACATTAGAATACTGAACTTCTGTATGCACCAAAAGAAATGCAGTATTACCTCATGGAAGTTCAATAGATAGATGGCAATAGATACTGGGCAACAGATGATGGGTGGGGTCTGGATTTTCCTTCTCCACACCTTCACACCCTATCTGATCCTCAAATTTCCTGTCTAGTAGACAGGAAATTCTTAGTCTATATCAGGAACAATAAAAATCTATGTCAACATGTACACATTTCTAGAATCATAGATTTTTAGGAAGGCTATATTGTTCAATGCCCCACACCCATCCCCCATCCTTCCACACACACATCAGGAATTCCGTAGCTAGCATTGCTGATAGGTTAGTCTGAGAAAGTCTGAGAAAGTACTTTGATGACAAATTGTTTACCATCTCCTGAAGGGAACTTTTTAAATTAAACTACTCTGTTAAAAAAAAATCGTTAACATTACAATATTTAGTGAAAATTTTCTTATTTCAAGTGACACGTTTTATCAAAGTTAAATCCTAAAAGGACAACTTAAAGGTTGAAATTCTCTCAGTTGAGCTTGTAATTTCAAGATGATTCAACATCATCCATACCATTTGGCCATGTTTTTATTCTCCTGAGATGTTTTGTTAAATGGGGTCTGGAATCCCAGAGATTCTTATTTGCTGCTGCGGTGGAGCAAAATCAACACAAGAGTGGAGTGAAGGTGTTGGGTCAAGGGAGTGAAGTTAACTGAGGACAAGGACTAGATACTTTCAGAGAAAAGAATAGGAACACAATGGCATTGTTGTTAAAAATTACTAGTTAAAGGTCTCAAAAAAAAACAGCATAAAATCAAACTGAATATTTGCAGTAGTCAGGAACCAAAAATGTCTGAAAAAAATCAAACCGGAAGGTTCAGTGATAGTTTCTTTTTATTCCTACGGATCTACTCTTACCTTTTTCCCCTCTGCTGTGTGCCCTGGGAGACTGGCCTATTGGACTACATCAGATGCCCTCTGGCTTCTTAAGTTAAGCCATTCGGACTGGGCAAGAGATTGGAGGGGAGGAGAGTAATGCTGCAATATTCTTCCCACCTCTCCTTCTCCCCATGGGAGTCCCTGCAGACTGGCTGTATCTCTCAAGTTAAGGCCATGGCCCCAGTCAGACTATCCTCTCTACGCAGTTCTTTTTATCTCTCCGGATTTCAGTAACCTTCCCCCCTTCAGGCCTGGGTGCCATAAAACCCTTGTGGTTTCCTACATCCCTATAAATACTTTGTAAATAGTCTTGTTCATTATTAAATTGCCCAGTTGGAACGTGCCATCAATTTCCTGCCGGTACCCTAACTGACATACTCAGTTCCATTAATCTCCCAACAAACATTTATAGCTTAACTACTATATGCCAAGGAGAATAAATGATATATTAGACAGCTAATACCCTCACGGGGGCAGTCCGGGGAGTGCCACAGGAACAGATGGTTATATCACATCTTGATAAGTGATGCAGACAAGCATTGGATAGAGAGGTGAGTGGAGGTATAAAATGGGGGCATAGGCAGGCTCAGGGGAGGTTTCTGGGTGGAAATGGGGTTGGACAAATTTAGAGACAGGGATGTGGTAGGGAGTGGTCAGGACCTGACAGAGAAGTTTACAGTCACGGGCATCAGGGCCAGTCAGGTTGTGGTAAAGGATCAGAGTGGAGGACTAGGCTGGCTCAGACCACAGAAAACCTTGTAATGCAGCAAGGGTCCTTTTTCATGTGCTTACTCTCCCTCTCTTTTCTCTCTACTAAGGGAAAAATAATGATACCGATGAAGCCTACAGTCTCTCACTCTTAATCCTGCCCACTATCCTAAAGTAGGCTTGACGTTCCTACTTTCTTGGCCCCAAACCCTTCTTTTTTGGAAAATCACTCCTGTACACTTCCTGCGTATTCAGGCCTTTCAAAATGGTTAACTAGACAATATGTAAACTAGTCCTTGGAGATGAGCAGCAGGAGCGGGCTAGAAATGAACGTTCCCAAATGCATCCTAGAAGTCCTAACAGCCAGTTCCCCGTTTTATTTAATAGCAATAGATAATACCGACGCTTTTTTGACCAGTAGAGAATGGGTGATAATAATGTTGAGAAAGAGGGCAGCGAGTGAGCTTCACTTCATCAAGGTGGGGCTTTGGTCCAAATTGGTTTGGGCAGGTAGGCACTTTTAAGACCCATCTTTATCACACTACATTGGCAAGTCCAGAGTTCAGGAGGCCTCTGTCTTCCCTCTCTAAAGCGCAAACCGCAAGTAGTTTCCTTGCTAGGTAGGGCGAAGCCCGAACCATCTCACAGGTTTTTCCTTGGAACACTCTTGGCATCAAAGATAGCCAGTCCTCTAGGACTGGGGCTCATTGGCTTCGTTAATCGAAGTCACGTACGCAATCTCACCCAACTAACCCTTCTTTTCTGTTAATTTGGAGCGCGCAACACTGCCTTATGTAGCCTCCCCACAAATAAGAGACACGGGAAGAGTTAAAAAAAAAAAGTGGTGGGTATGGAATCCTCTGCTGTGGCTCTGAACGATTAACTGGATCCGTTGCTCGCGCGCTCTGCAAACCGGGATGCCGGGCCAGGCGTGGCCACAGCGCAGCTAGAGCCCTAGGGCTGCCACTAGATCCCTGATTCAGGGCGGGTTTCGGAGCGAGGGCCAGCTGCCCACCCCGTCTGGACATCCTCGGCAGGCCGGGAGAAAGCCCCTCCTCCCGGGCGGAGACAGCTCCAAGAAGTAGACGCCCGCGACCCGCTGTGAGGCCAGTACCCAGAGGCAGCCACCGCCTCCCCGAGTTCCTGTGGCTGCTGCGACGCGGAGTATAGAGCGCTGATGGCCATGGACGGCTACAGGGGATTTCTGGGGCTGCTGGTGTCGGCGCTGCTCGTCGGCTTCCTATCCGTGATCTTCGTCCTCGTCTGGGTCCTCCACTACCGGGGCGGACTCGCCTGGGACGGGAGCTTGCTCGAGTTTAACTGGCACCCTGTGCTCGTGGTCACCGGCTTCGTTTTCATCCAGGGCATCGGTACTGGGCACTTCTTGGGAGGCGGCGGGGCGCGGGGCTGGGGGTCCCCGACTGAGTCTCCACCGAGGGGGACCGACGTGGGCGAGCGGAA